GAAAGAGGGGAGAAAGGAGTGAGGGGAGAGGAGAAAGGAGAGAGGGGAGAAAGGAGTGAGGATAAAGGAGAGAGGAAAAGAGAGAGGGGAGAGGAGAAAGGAGTGAGGGGAGATGAAAGAGGGGAGAAAGGAGTGAGGAGAGAGGGGAGAGGAAAGAGGGGAGAAAGGAGTGAGGATAAAGGAGAGAGGGGGGGAAAGGAGAAAGGGGGGAGAGGAGAAAGGAGTGAGGATAAAGGAGAGAGGAAAAGGGAGAGGAGAGGAGAAAGGAGTAAGGGGAGAGAAGAAAGGAGAGAGGAGGAAGAAAGGAGAGAGGAGAGAAAGGGGAAAGGGGAGAGAAGAAAGGAGAGGACTGTGTGTGGTCCGCTGGGCCTTCTTCAGACCCCTGAAGGAGTCAATTCAATTCAGTGTATTCTTATATAGCGCCACACAACAACAAGGCTGCCCCAAGGCGCTTGACAAAGCAAGTGACCAGGCAGGCTGTGGATACAGAGCAGAAAAGACCAGAAGACAACGGAGCAGAGGAACCAAAACCTCCTCAGTAAGGAGAAAAAAACCTCTAGAGGCCCAAGGTCCACTGGCTGCCCACCCCCCTGGGCACGCTAACATCATACAATTAAAAAAAATAAAGGAGTCTCCACACCCTCTCCAAACGTCTTTCCCATCTCCACTTTCCCTCCTGGCCAACACAGCTTCCCACTCAGATATTAGAATTCAGATCTATTATGCGTGATATCTTATTCTACATAACATTCTAGTGTACTCGTTTTGGTGCATTATAAGCAGTGGTGAGCACTGCTGCCTCCCAGCTCTGGGGCCCTGGGTACAATTCCTGGGGTGCTGTCTGTGTGGAGTTTGCATGTTCTTCCCTTCTTTCCCGTGACTGGCTGCTGGGACAATTGGCCCTGGTGTGTGTTTGTGTGTGCGTGTGTGTGGGAGGCTGGGAGGGAGAATGTGAGAAAGGGAGAAGGAGAGCTGGCCAGCCGGCCCAGCTGTGTGTGATCATTACGGTACCGGTGGGTCCAGTACAGCCGAACACGACACTAACAGCTCTGAGTCTGTGGCTCACGAGCGCTGCTCTCTCACCCCTTTGAGCTCCAGTCAGCTCCTCTGTTCAAACACACAGTGAAACCCGGGACCGGC